CCTCTTTCTTCACAAAGTCCCTCCTATCACTTGCCAAAAATCTCTTCTTCTGTCTTACAGGCCTAGACCCCTCAAGAACAGAGAGACGATGGCAAATGACTGACCGGTCAATCCCGGGCATATCAGCAACACTCCAGGCAAATAATGATTTATACCTGGTCAACACCTGGACAATCTCAGTCCTTAGCTCTTCCTGAAGATCAGCTCCAATCTTGACCTTCCTCTCAGGATTGGAGGAATCAATCTGGATCTCCTCCGTGTTTGCATCCGGTTCGATTCTAGCCTTCTCCTCTCTCTTGTCTACTTGCTGGGAGACCAAATCAATTTGTTCGAATTGGCGGGTCATTTTCTTGACTGCTTCCAGGTAGCAGGACCGGGCGTTCTTTTGATCACCCCTTTCCTCCCCGATTCCATTGGGAGTGTAAAACTTCATGCATAAGTGTGCCATGGAAATAATAGCCCTGGCCTGGTTGATCCCAGGCCTACCCAGAATGGCATTATGCACACACTTGATGTCGACCACAACAAATCTCATTTGTTTGGTCACTGTCCTGTTACGCGACCCCAAGGTAACTGGTAAGGTGATCTGACCTTCCGCTTCTATGCTAGCTCCAGTGAAGCCTGACAATGGAGTTTGCAACGGTCTCAACATGGACCTGTCCAGCTTCAATTTCTTGAAAGCATCCAAGTATAGAACATTGACACTGCTTCCTGTGTCAACCAGGACCCTGACCACATCAGCTCCATTGATGTCCATTGTAATAACCAAAGGGTCATTATGATCTCCCCCCGTCCTGGGCAGATCCCTATCAGTGAAAGTGATAGGTTCCCTCCTTGCCTCCTTCCCATGTGACTCCAGGGAAACCACCGCCACGTGCAAACTCTTGGCCCAGTTCTTCCGCTGGGAGGCAGTATCCCCGCCTTCCGGGCCGCCGACAATCATCTGTATAAATTCTTTATCCGGATTGTTGTTATCCTTCCCGGATTTTCTCCTTCCCTGGTCTTTTCCCTGATGACGGGTCCAGGTGTTCGCTTTCGGGTCTTTCTTATTACCCGTCGCGTAACCTTCCCCAAGCTCTCCTTT